ATCTGTGGGGCTGGGATGGGATCCGTGGGGCTGAGATGGAGACCTGTGGGGCTGGGATGAGATCTGTGGGGCTGGAATGGAGATCCGTGGGGCTGGGATGGGATCTGTGGGGCTGAGATGGAGACCCGTGGGGCTGGGATGGGATCTGTGGGGCTGGAATGGAGATCCGTGGGGCTGGGATGGGAATTGTGGGGCTGGGATGGAGATCCATGGACTGGGATGGGATCCGTGGGGCTGGGATGGGATCTGTGGGGCTGGGACACAATTCCATGGGTCTCTGTGGGTTCAATCCCCCCAGGTCTCCACACCATACAGCGAGTTTCCGGCTGTGACCTCCTGTCTGATGGGAGCGTCCGTGGATCCTGGCGGTACGGCTACGACGGGCGGGATTTCATCTCCTTCGAGCTGGGATCCAAGAACTTCGTGGCGGCCGACGACGCTGCTGAGATCACCCGGAGGCGCTGGGAAGATGAGAATGAGGTTGAGAGGCGGGAGAATTACCAGGGACACGTCTGCCCGGAATGGCTCCGGAAATATGTTGGATACGGGCGGAAAGAGCTGGAGCGCAAAGGTGGGTGGGAATTTGGGATTTGGGAATGGAGGACTTGGGAATGCCATAATTCCAGTGGGAATTCCATGGGCGGATATCTTCATCCCATTCCCACAGAATTCCATGGGCAGATCTCACCCATTCCCATGGAATTCCATGGGCAGATCTCATTCTCATCCCATTCCCATTCCCATGGAATTCCATGGGCAGATCTCGCTCCCATCCCATTCCCATGGAATTCCATGGTCAGATCTCACTCCCATCCCATTCCCACGGAATTCCATGGGCAGATCTCGCCCCCATCCCATTCCCATGGAATTCCATGGGCAGATCTCGCTCCCATCCCATTCCCATGGAATTCCATGGTCAGATCTCACCCCCATCCCTTTCCCATAGAATTCCATGCATGAGTTCCACCATTATCCCATTCCAGTGGTCCCTGACGTCCACGTGTCCGGAAAAGAGGAACATGGGACACTGATCCTATCCTGCCACGTGTACGGATTCTATCCCAACACCATCACAGTCAACTGGATGAAGGGGGGTGAAATCTGGGATCAGGAGACGGAGTGGGGCGGGATCGTTCCCAACAGCGATGGCACCTTCCACACCTGGGCCAGGATCGAGGCGCTGCCGGAGGAGTGGGAGCAGTACCGGTGCCGGGTGGAGCATCCCGATCGAGGCGCTGCCGGAGGAGTGGGAGCAGTACCGGTGCCGGGTGGAGCATCCCGGAATGCTGGAGCCCGGGATCTTCGCTTGGGGTGAGGCTGGGAATGTGGGAATTGGGGATTTGGAATTCTGGAACGGGGATTCCGCTTCCCCTCCTCACTATCCCGCGTTTCCCAGAGCCGACATCTGGCGGGAATCTCGCTGTGGTGATCGCTGTGTCCGTCATCGCCATCCTCGTCCTTGTCCTCATTGGATTCGGTGTCTGGAGGCTCCAATCCGGTAACACACGGGATGGGGGTCAGGAAGGGGCACAGGATACCCGGCACTGTTCTGGGAATGCAGCACCCACACTGATCCCGCTGTTTTTCCACAGGGAGGAGGGACGGGAATGGATACAGCCCGCCAGCCGGTGAGTTCCAGTGGTGGATCCAGCTCTGAATCCCCTCTTTGTGCATCCCAGGGTGGATCCTGGGGTTAATCCCAGTGTGTGATCCATGCTGGAATCTCACGGATCTTCTCTTTCTGCAGGAAGGGACATGGAAATGAATGGCTGAACCACACTTACGGAGCGGGATTGGGGTAGGATTCTAGAGGGGGATCGAGGCAGGATGGATGGACTGGGATCAGGGAGGGATTCCAGATTAGAGCAGGGATCCAGAGCAGGATCAGATGGAATTGTTGAGTGGGATGGGTGCTGGTTTCTGGAGCAGGATCAGGTAGGATGGATGGAGCAGGATTGGTGTGGAATGGATGGAGAGGGATCGGGGCTGGATTCCAGACAAGAATCAGGTGGGATGGATGGAGCAGGACTGGGGCAGGAGGGATGGGGTGGGATCAGGTGGGATTCTGGATTAAGGCAGGATTCCAGTGTGGGATTAGTTGAGATGGATGGAGCAGGATCAGGTTGGGATTCCCAAGAGGGATTGGGGAAGGGTGGATGTGGCAGGATTGAGTGGGATGGATGGATGATGGATGGATGATGGATGGATGATGAATGATTGATGGGTGATGGATGGATGATGGATGGATGAATGATTGATGGATGATGGATGGATGGAGGATGGATGGATGATGGATGATGAATGATGGATGGATGGATGGATGGATGGATGGATGGATGGATGGATGGAGTTGGATCAGTTGGGATGAATGTAATAGGATTATGGCAGGATTGGGGCAGGATCAGGTTGAGATTCCAGAGAGGAACTGGGGCAGAATGGATGGAGCAGGATCAGGTTGGGATTCCGGAGCAGGATTGGGGCAGAACGGATAGAGTAGGATTGGGGTGGGGTCAGGTGGGATTCTGGAGCAGCTCCTGCTCCCCATGGGCTCCAGCCAGGTCCATTCTGTGGAATGGGGACAGGGACAGGGTGACACCGTGACCCTCTCTCATCCCGGCAGGAATCACCACCGGAGCAATCCACAGAGCTGGATACAGCCCTTTCCCTCTTCCCAGGAATGCTGAGAGCTGCCAGCAGAGCTCATCCCACTGCTGCCACCCACCCCACAGCTCTTGCTAACAGATCGATTTCCTGTTTTCCAATA